AGCCTTGCTTCTAGAACTCGATGTGTTGAACTTCAGTCGATGCTGCTTGCTTGTAACACAATACTCGCAGAATGGAAGAGCTACCGAATTAAGTCCAGGAAGCAGTTTTTGATCGGAGAGAACCTTCAAGCCTCGTTCTGACATGTGGCCTAGCTTGCGATGCCACATCATGGTTTGTTCTTCTCCACGGCTGGTTGATGCCACACATGAATCAACTTCCTGCAGAGTCTCTCCCTTGAGCATGTACAGATTTGCAGCTACCTTTTCTCCTTTTATTACCACAAGCGCCCCTCTAACAATCTTCATGATTCCATTTTCAATATGAGTTTTACATCCGAGCTCATCTAATTGTCCCAAAGATAATAGATTCTTCTTCAAGCCCTTCACATGTCGCACATCTTGAATGGTGCGTATTGTACCATCAAACATTTTGATTTTGATAGTACCAATACCACAAATCTCCAAGGCATGATCATTCCCCATGAATACAGATCCTCCTGAGATAGGTTCATATTTGCGAAACCAATCTCTCCGAGAGGTCATGTGCCAAGAGGCTGCTGAATCTAGAAGCCAGACATCAGCAAACTTCTTTCTGCCTTCATCAACAGTGGTTGCTCCACTGAATAGAATTTCACCATCCTCTGACGTGCTGACAACGCATCCTTGAGATGTTGATGGCTCTGAAGACTTTTTATCTCCACTCTTCTTGTTGTGCCAACACTCCGATTTGACGTGCCCTCTTTTGCCACAGTTGTAGCATTTGATATTCTTCTTACTTCGTGATTTCGATCTACCATGGGCATGACTCCCACTGGAGCCACGTTCTGTTGATCTTCCTCTCGTCACCGACAAGGCCTCCGCTTGCTGCGAACTTGTCTGTCTGTCTTCCTTGTTCTTGCGCCGATTTTCTTCTTCCAGAACAGCGGCTGCAACATCGTCGAAGACTAGATTGTCCGTGAGGATGTTGTTCGTCAGGTTGATGATGAGTTGATCATACGAGTCAGGTAGACTCTGAAGTAGAAGTTCTGCACGTTCATTCGCACCAACTGTATATCCCAACGTTGTGAGTTGGGAGAACAGTGTGTTTAGGATGTTGATGTGGTCGGTCATCGATGTAGATTCCGCCATCCTCAGAGTGTAAAGTCTCCTTTTTAAGAAGATTTTATTGTGCATGGATTTCGCCTCATATAGCTTTGTTAGAGTATCCCAGATCTCCTTTGCTGTCTTCTTCTCCTCTATGCTTGACAGCACCCCGTCTGCTAATGCCAGATGGAGATTTGCAATAGCATTTTCGTCCATCTCGTTCCACTTCTTATCATCTGTGATGTCGTCCGGCCTTGCACCAATGGCCGCCAGGCAATTATCTTTTCTCAAGATAGCCTTTATCTTCAACTTCCACAGTGAGAAATTACTCCCGTCGAATTTCTCGATCTTGAACTTCGCCGCCATTGCTTCTACCACGAATAGTAACTTCTTACTATTTCACGTAAATAGTACTGTATTTATGAACAGTAACCGTATCCGTGAATAGTATCGTACTTGTGAATAATACTGTATTTGTGAACAGTACTGTACTCGTGAATAGTACCCGTCACCTCCAAAGGGTAAATGATAACCTAACTTATTTTCTGATGTGGAGGATCCACCTTTGGTGGCAGCCACAGAGCATACGATAAGTAGATATATACAAGTACCCTAAGTTGGCTCTGATACCACTTGTTGGGACAAACCTGGGGCCTAATAGAGCAGGGTCGCAGCAATAGTAGAGCAAAAGTAGAGATAAAATGTTGGACACACAGATTTACGTGGTTCGGCACTTGATTGCCTACGTCCACGGGCAAGGATAGAAGAATTCACTATGAGGAAAAAACTCTGGAGTTACAAACTCTCTCTTTACAAGGAGAAACTCTCTCTATTTTTTTCTCTCACTCTTCTTATATAAGAAGTTGTTTCTGGGATGAAATTTCCTTAAGGATTTGGAGCCCTATTTATAGTTTTTAGAAAAACACTATGCACAATAAAATATTAATATTTTATTGTAGCTGTGGGGTCCGCTCTTTTGTTTTCTTCTCAAATTTTCAACATATGTGGCTGTGCACTTTCGGTGGGTTTGGAATATTAGGCACCTGACAATGACGTCATATATTCCGAAGCTCATTTATTGACTTACCCATTACCAAGTCCCTTTTGGTCATTTTAAATGTTATAATTCACCTATTTGCCAAATATGTAAAGTTTGAAAATGAGTTATAATCTACTATTTATCAAACACTTTGTGTTACGAGTCATAGTTCCCAAAGGGTCAAACGTAATTTCAGAGAATCCAAATAGGATTACCGAGCTTGGGCTGAGGTTTGGGCTGCGTCTTAAATTTTGACGAAAAAAATGTCAGGCCTGGGCTGTTTGCATAACAACAAACTGGATCGAGCCACAAGCCCAAGGGCCTAATTAAATTTTCAGGTATCAACTAAGAACTCCCACGAGAGGTATCAACAATTCGCAACTAAGAACTCCCAGTTTGAAGAAATCTTAAGCCAACATTAGATATTACCAGTAAAAAAAAAGTATATTATTTAATCTCAGGATCAAATTCCCTGTTTCCAAATTTTGAGGAAAGATCAAATTTTGATGGGGGATTCGACAAGCTTGGAGTTGCAAGAATCAGGGTGGGAAGAACTGAGGAAAGAGGCGCGAAAGATCGAGCTTGGAGTTGCAAGAATCAGGGTGGGAAGAACTGAGGAAAGAGGCGCGAAAGATCGAAGGGGATCTCGACGTCAAGCTCTCCTCCTACGCCAAGCTAGGCACTCGATTCACTCAATCTCCGGGTAATTCGTTTGCTCAGGTCCCAGATCTGAATCCATTTGATGCAAAAAAAACTTTTCGGTTTTCTTGATTTTTGTCAAATAGTTTACTCCAATTCGATTAAGATCTGCAGGTGATGTGAACTCGTGATTGTTTTCGAAAATTTTAGGGGTAATGTAATTATGTAAGTGAAGGATGTTGTAAAGAAGACACTTAGAGTGAGAGTTGACAAATTCACGGTTCCAATTGATTTTGAGAGAACACCAAGAAGACGATTACATTTATGAGGTCTCTCTGTAAGTGCTAACGTAAGGGACTTAAGGAATGAAAACAAGTGTCGACTCTTAAGTAGTCATACTATACCCACCGCGGCTGAACCAGACGGTTGGGAGGTTCCAATATGGCACCCACGGTCTTGTGGTTGATTCCATGCTGGGTTATCCAAAAAAAATAAGAAGTTATACGATAGTTAGTCGATGTGCAATGTAACAGTAGCACTTATTGAGTAACTGAAGCTACCTCAACTTAGACGAAAGAATGCGATCCAGATTGAAAGTATCTAGTGTAAAGCATGTACAAACTACCCTTTGGGCTAAATGAAGTAGAAGATGAACGTAACGCAACCACTCTGGTTGCCCCGTGCACAAATCCTCCTTTGTATGAAGTTTTCGAAACCAATACCTGTCTATTCTAAGAGGGTTCTCACCATAGTTATGTGAACACGCCAGATCGAATGAGTCTGTGTTTACAAGTATATATTGCCCGGCCTTTCCCTTTTACTTGGATCTTCGTTTTTGCACACATGACGACTACTGCTTACTTTGTCAAAGCCTGTTTGCTTGCGCAAATAAGTCTTCCTGCTACTTAAGCTCCTGTCTGGATTTCTGTTCTGGTGCCTTGTTTCCTATTGATAGAAGAAGGAAATTATTTTGTACGCATCTTATTGCAGTTTCGACATTAAATAAGATTTTTTAACTCCCCCATTTTCTCGCGTATTATATTTGTAGTTGGCTATTACTTTCCTAATGTCGTAACTTGGGATTGGCTGATTTTATTTTATTTTTCCCAATCTGATAAAGCATGCAGTGTTAAACTAATTGTAGGACTTGTATTAGGATACCACATGATGCCATGAACCCTAAAGATGGGAAAAGGTAACACATTTTCTTAGGGTATCTTTTACTTTTATGTGGAAATAGTTTGTAAGGATTTGCAAGCATAAAGCATCATAAGGAAATCACATTTCTCTATGATTTGATCCTGTGCTGTGCTGGGAGTTACACATTTACTCATCTTTCATAAAATAATAACTTATATCTGCGTTGCTTTCTCATAATTCTTCTTTTTTTCCTGTAATAGCTAGTTGTTTAGTATTGTTTTTTTTAAAACATCACAGGTTATGTGGACAGTGGATCACTAAATGTTGGTCCCAGTAGATCATGGAAGTCCATGGAAATGGAAATAGAGTCCTCACTAGAGAAGCTGCTCGATATTAATGATTCCATGAGCCGATGTGCTGCAACAGCATCTGCCACAAGTTCTATTAATCAAAAACTTGCAAGGCATAGGGACATACTTCATGAATATACACAGGTAATTTTTTGCGTGTTTCTTGTTTCCAGGTGCATTTGAACTTGATCCAAATAGTTCTTCCTTACCTCGATTTCTGTTTTCTGAGGTCAATCCTTACTCTTTGTTGCTTCATTTATGACTCATCTTAATCATATGTTTTAACGTAAGCGTCCAACCGACTCAAACATTCTTTTTCTTATTCTCAATTGAAGCCACCTCAGTAATCTTGCTAAGACACTCATTTATCAGTTCATCTTGGTATTATTATCGACACACAGATTTTTGTAAAATCTCATGATTAGAACATAGTCATTTCCTGTCCAACATTCTAACAGTTAAAGCACGGCTAGTTCTATAACCTTACAAAGGTTTCCTTTTCTCATGTGTCTTAAATATCAATATAGTACTCATTCACCAATTTAGTCAGTGAAACTTCTGCCTTTATTTTAATCTATGGATAACCACTTCATCATCATACCGGTCCTGAGATGCAATAATAATTATGCAAAAGTTCACTGGAGATTCCTGATGTATTGGCCAAATATCATTTAGGTCCTTAATCTTTGGAAGGGATCCCCGCCGGTGTTTTGCAAACATAAGCACCCAAATGATATTTGGTCGATACGATAGGGGGGGCCTCCACTAAAGTTATGCCAAAAATTATTGTTTATCCTTTCTACTTTTTACTTTACCCTAGAGTTAGATTCTGTTAGTTTATTTTCTTTATGTTAATTTCATATTCTTTGGTTTGTTTGCCAACTGGTATATGTTATCTGCCTTTGTTTTTATTGTTTCTGACTTCTACATTGTTTACCACTTGGTTTAATTCTTTCCTGTTTTTTATCAAACAGTTGCACATTTGTTTAACGTAAAAAAAGCTGACTCAACTCACTGTAATTGGTATGTTCAGGAGTTTAGACGAACAAAAGGAAACTTGAACTCCATGAGAGAGCATGCCGAACTTCTTAACTCTGTTCGCGATGCTATCAGTGAGTCCAAGGTGAGGCTGGCTTGATTCTACCGAGTGTATATACCTGATTGATTATTGCAGAAAATATTGACTTTGGCCACTTTGTACAGGCATCTGGAAGTATGTCGCCTAGAATGCAGTTATTGAGAGAAAGAGCTTCAGTCCACGGGAGCACAAGTCATGTAAGATATCACATTCGTTTGTTTCCCTTTTTCCCCCCTCCCTATGATATGATTCTGATTCACTTTTGCTTCATGATTGGCGATAAGAATCGTGTGCATTTGTAGATTTCGGGCTCCATGTACAAGATTTAGAGAGAGTTGAAAGAATATACGTATGTTTTATGAGCAACATGGGTCTCTCTTGGAAATGGTGAAAGGCTAAATAAAAAGATTGTTGAGTCTTGCTAATTCTATGTCATGACGAACAAAAGAAAAAATTAACTGTTGGACAAACATCTTTGCTGTATATAGAGATACTAACTGTTGAATTGAACATACTGCTCTTGTTGCCTACTGGCGCTAAATTATACTAACGGTTTGCTGGCTTCCAGATTGATGAAGTGATAGGTCAGGCTCAAGCTACAAGATCAGTCCTGGGAGCACAAAGGGCTTTGTTCGGCGATGTTCAGGGAAAAGTCAAGCATCTGGGCGAAAAATTTCCTATTATTCGAGGCCTCCTTGGTACCACGCCTTCCGCAAAACCTTGTTTTATTTTTGTTTTTATACGTGTAACTGATTTTTGATGCTTGATTTATAATTGAAGGAGCGATAAGAAGAAAGCGTTCGAGGGACACACTCATCCTCTCTGCAGTCATAGCAGCCTGCACATTGTTCCTCATCATTTATTGGCTCTCAAAATAGTCCATTTTGATCCTCAAACTGAAAAACTGCTCATGAGTTTTTTTTTTTTTTTTTTTTTTTTTTTATTCATGAGTTTTTTTTTTTTTTTTTTTTTTACTATGAAGTTGTGGGTTCAATTTGCCGAGTGTTGTGATCTCGTAGTTGGAAGAGGAAAAAGGACAAGGGAAGAGGAAAAAGGTTGCGGGTTTTCTTTTGGCTTTGTTTTCTAGTCTACTCACTTTATGTACAGAATCTGGAAGAGGTTTTTATATCAAGGATGATTTATTGTTTAATTTGAATTATGACTTGGGTTTAATGTAAGATTTCTGCTGTCTATCGCAAATTTCTTTTCCTCGAAATTTGACATCTTCAGATTGTAAAAAAAGGGCTAAATATCATAACCCCACCCCCAACCCCTAAAAAAAGTCCTTAAGCCTAGGAAGGCTTATTAAAGAACTCACTTTTAACTTTGAGATTTTATCAGAAAATCCCCCTAATCTTTGGGGTTTCTTGATAAAATCTCAAAATTAAAGGGAGTTTTTTGATAAAATCTGAAATTAAATGGGGTTTTGTGATAATCCCGATACTCGATGGGAGCTTTTTCTAATATTTTCAAAGTTAAGGGGGTTTTCCCGATATTTAGCCTAGTAAGAAAATCACAATGTCAGTTTTCGGAGATTACTTGCAAGAACTTCCGGGATTAGGGGAATTACTGATTCAAAAGGGTCTGAAATATACGGCGTTGTCTGGCTGACCGCATTTCCAAGTAAAAGCATTAGCAGAACAAATAAATTTAAATCTAACCGCGCAGCGCAATTATAACATGAATGCAGGAAAATCTTGAGATTCACCAGAAAGAACAAGAAACAATGCCTGCTGAGCAAATGATTAGATCAAACCTGACCCAGCACTTGACAGTCCGAAGACTTGTTATCAGAACACGTAAATAGAGTCACATAACAGATCACTAGGGATAAATGTTAAAACAAATTTCAGAGCTTAAAACTTTCAAAAAATGCACAAGATAATGTAGCTCATCAAAAGAGAAAAACTCTTAATAAATAAAAAGGAATGATACAGCATGCGCTAAATAGTTACCATTAGTACACAAGTTTTCAGGAGAATGAATGGTCAAACGCTGGAGAGCATGAATATTGAAGTGGGGGGGAATTCTAAGGATGTTTAAAGGCGGGGAAAATACTGAACGAGAACAAACTCATATCCACAGTAAGAATCTTCACAAATTACACAGTACTAACACAATCGAAGCCTGATGAAGCCAGCCAATGTTCCTCAATAAGGGTAGAAAAATCCCCTAGCAGTCACAAGATTCCTTCTGAATCTATTTATGGGAACGTGGCAACTGCAACCAACAGCAGCATTGAGAATATAAACTTTACACTTGCATGCAGAACTGGAGAAGCTGCCGAGTCATTCTTTGAATGAGGTTTTTGAGCCCTAAACAAAAAAAGAAAAGAAAACAAAGACGGGTCAGGTATCAGCTACGAGAGATGAAAGTGGCAAGTTTACCATTAATGGTTGAAGAATTGTGAGAGGCAGGTGGTCTTATCATGACCAGATCTAATAAACACACAGAAAACAGATTCATAACCATATTCACACTAATTGATCTATTCTGTTTATTGATCCGGATTCAATGTAAAATTTGAGGAAGTCCATAGTAGAGGGGGAAATTCATATAGAGGGCCCTCCACATAGAAAATAATATAGGGTGGAAGAAGATCCTAACACGTATCTCACTTTCAATTCTAAATCAATACGCAATCAATATGCAATCATCAATATTGCATCAATGCAATCGCCAACTTTAGAATCTATGCTGGGACACTTGTCACAATCTATATGATTTCTATAGATGGCCCTCTATAGGAGTGACCCCCCTCCCTCTCTCCCGTTAGAGTAATGCATCACGTTGCATATGATCTAGCATTGCATCACTACTTGTCACAATCTCCTTTCTTCCTACATGATGTCTGTAGACGGCCTTCCTCATAGGAGGTTTTACAGTCAAATAATGCATCATATCGAATACAATCTAGCATCGGATCACTACTGAACTAGACCCGTACCTTGGTGACTGAAGCATAACTCGTAGTATTATAACTGGTATTTCTATGATCCAGTAACACTGAACCTAGGTTCACATATGTGAAGGTATAGCTCTAACTGCTGGATTGAAGAATTGAGGCTGAGAATTAGTAACATACTTTTGTTTATCACTGAGAAGCCCACAGTAAAGGGCATTATCAGGAACAGGCAACTCATTTTTTTCATTCCCCTCTGGATTGAACACCTTCACGTACACCTCCTGCCCAAGGTACCACGTGTCCAGATTCTCCGTGCGCACGTTCCAGAAACCAACATTGTCCAATGAAACTAGGACAGCTGTCCATGCTCCTGGGTACACCTGAAGTACAGTATTCAAATATTTTCATACGATAAAGCAATTTACTGATGGTCTCAAACAATGGTAGGAAGATTGTATGAACCAACAAGACAAAAGGAAAAAAAATGAAATGCATTAACAATTGCAAAACAGCAGGCAAAAAAATGAAATGCATTAACAAGTGCAAAACAGCAGGCAACATTTAGCAGTGGCCATTGGTTTCCAGATACGAACCCAAGGTGTAGTATCTTGACCCTGGCTAGCAGTAAAAACTCAAAAGCCAGGAAACACTACCTCAAACTCAAGCAGTTAAATGCTGTGCAACAGGATAAAACAACAAGGTAACCCAGGAAGTATCATACTGAAAGATCCTAGATAGACAAAATCAGCTCGATTCTACAAACATTCACAACAAAAACAAAGCACTACTAATAGTCAATAATTTCAAATACATAATAAATTAATTACAAAAATCTCAGTAAAATAAATTTAGGCAGCTCACAAGAATGATGCAAATGCATAATAAACATGAAATGGCTAGTTGATATAATGCTCTTAGCTAATTCAGAAAAGAAAGATATAATGTTCTTAGGTGTCTTTGAATGTAAAGCAAACGACAAATTATTGTCAAATGAAGATTCGATATTTTGCGAAAGATAAACTTGCTTAGATTCACAAAAAAACAAAGTAAAATGCAGCAATAAAAGGTAAGAATGAAATACACTCTGATTGCAATCACCTGTATAGTGCACCGAGCAACACCATCCCATTTATTATATGTGCCTCGGCTATTCTCCGTCCACTCCCCATAATCCATCCTGTAATTAATGAAACTCAATAACAAATTAAAGAGGACCTACAAATAATTATGTCTAATAGGAGCAACATATAAGATATTAGACATACCCGGCAATGAAAAATGCATATCCATCCATATGGTATGTTTGAACTATGGTGTCATTGTTCTGGAATATTATTTCCATGAAACCTCTATATGTACCATTGATCACAGATCTCCCAACTCGAGGTGCACCCTTAATTGGCCTAGTCGGAAAATCAAGTGTGTAAACTCCCTTCTTATCAAAAGCATCAGCAAGCCTCAAAGGTGTATCTGGATTAGTATATGAGATTCCATTGAGTGTTGTCCGAAGCTTGCCATTAATTTTCACCGGTGGCATGTTCCTCAGTTCGTACACTTGGGTCACATTGATTTGACCATAATGGAAGGATCCTTGAGGGTTTGGACGCGCACCACTAGCACTTACATTCGTCCTGACAAAATCATAAAGAAATTTCAAGCCGCATCAGAAGTGAAATACTTACAAAGGTGCACAAAAAAAGTTTTACAAAGAAGTTTCTTTTTTTACAATTAATTACATTCAGGTATCATGAGGTGTGGTGTGATTACATGGGATACCCAAGAGTCTGTGTATCTCCAGTTGTGACTACATGGGTGACCTTGGAGTCATCCCCCCCCCGCCTCAGGGGTACTCATGTAAATAGAATCAATGATCTTAGGGTTAGCATTGAAGATATGCAACCTCCAGGGTCCATGTAATTACATCATGCCTACATTCTGGGTACTTGAATGTACTTAATTCTTGTTATTTGTAATGTTCTGAAAGATATTTACCCACCTGATTGATCTTGCTTGATTCATCGAGAAAGTTTTGTCAAAGAAGTCTTGAGGAGGATCCGGAAGGGGGCCAGAAGCTTTGCCTTTAGAATTTGAATAGTGCAAGATACCAACACCAGTTACTCGATCCCAATGTGACCCATTCACGAACCTAGCACTCCCCACAATGTAATAGTCGCTGCTCGCATTCTGATCCATTGTGACCAAGAATGAATAGGACTGCCCAACGCAGATATCGAGGTTAGTGTAGTTCTGAGCCACTGTGTAAGTCCCCTCAGTCTCAACAAGTAGTAGGTTGTGGTTTTGGATTCTGAAGTTCAAACAAGTTTTGATACCAACATTGTGGACTCGAAGTCTGTAAGTTTTGCCTGTTCGAGAAATGATACATCACTAACCCAATTTATATTGATAGTTCTTCATATCAACAAAATAATCTAGTATGAATATCTATGATTAATTTTAACATGAAAGGCTAAATTTAAAATGTGCAGGTAACACAAACTTTCTCTAGCACATTGATGTTGCAAAAACCAACATGAGATACAAGAATCAAACCCATTTTGCACAATGCACATGAGATACCAGAATCATACACATCTCATCATTGTTGAAAGTTAGATATTTAGGAGTAATATTTTTTTTAAAATTAGACATGTCAAAGAGATTTAAACTCTGATGTCAAAGAAACTTCATAAAAATTTAGTTTAAGCATAACAGTGCAAATATGCCAAATAAAAAATAAGCTATGAAGTCCATAGAACATTGCACAAATTGCAACTTAGGACAATTGATGCTGATGCTTTAAGAATCAATGTAAAATTTGTGCATGCTTGTAGACATTCTTCCATTATTGTGAACTTATATATTTCAAAAACATAATTCAATACTGAACAATAATGAGCCTGTCCATCACAGCAGTCAGCATAGAACTTCCTTAAAGCTTTTACGTGCTAGATTATCAAATAAATCAAGTAGCTTATTAACGCATAAATAAATGTGAATAATTGGAATATTTTAACCTTATTAAGATTATAATTTAAATGCAAGATGAATATTACATTATGCAATTTCAGAATAAATATTGTAGTACACGGCCAAGATGGCTAGGTTACCACAAAAAATAAATCCATGTAGAGAACATCACTCGTAATAAAACAATTTGTGAAACAAACAATTACCTGGTTCAACATTGAGAGTTTCATAGTCAATACCAGCTGGAACAAGACTATTATTGTAACGATATGGCCCCTTCCCGTTCATCAGAACACCATCAGGCACTCCAAGACCTTTCCCATCATCGAGTTTCTTCCTCAAATCCTACAAAACCCACAACACCAAAATTAAAAATTAATCACACTATACCTATATAGAATGGGTCTTTGATGATTCGCAGCTTCACTCACAGTATGATTCCTATTGTACCAATCACCAATAAAGAGAGTGATATCCCCATGCGGTGTATCAAATGGCACTGAAATAACCGGGCGATTGTTAATAGTTAGACCACCAAAGCCACCGGCAGCTCTCTGAAAGTTAGTTGAAGGGAAGTAGTAAAAGCTTCCGATCTGATCCTTGACTTGGAACTGATAAGTCCAGTTCCAACCAGGTGGAATCGGGCAATTTGTGCCCAAAACTCCATCTTGCCATGAATTTCTTCGCTGTTGAACTCCCACCCTGTAAGTTAAAGAATTAAGCTCAACCCAAATGATTAAAATAGAATGTTCAAGAAACTGAATTTGAAGGGAGAAGGATCACCGAAAATATTCCAAGTGACGAAATGACAAACGGAATCAATTCAAGAAGAAAAAGGAGCTCAGAAAAATGGAAATTACTGAAAATGTAGTTTAACGACGAAAAATAAAGGAACCTCACTCGCAGTTGACAAATAGGGGGAAACAATTTAAGAACTGGAAAAAAAAATGAATCACGAAACAGTCTTCTCTAATTTCTAATAAATAACTAACTGTATAGAGTTAGTAAATGGGAAATCAACAATCGTTCAGTCCAAATCTAGCAAAATAACTAAAATCCATTACAAATTAAACACAGACTCAAAGGATTTATAACTATAAATCAAAAGTAGTAAGCTTTGGTGTCTATTCTAAAATAACTTTAATTCACCAAATGAAGAAATGTCGAGGGAAAAATTACCATGAGAGCAGAAGAGGTTCATCCAAGCTATTGAGAACATTCACCACCACATTCCAGTTGGTCGTCAAGTTCATAACTGGACCAGGAAATTCATCATTCACAGCAATAACCTGCACGTTATAAAAAATAACAATCAAATCTAGACACCCAACAAAAAAAAATCACAAAAACCCACAGAAATCAACAAAAAAAGCACTTTCCAGCGAGAGCAAAAATGTAGCACCCCTTTCGAAAAAAAGGTCTCAAACCCACAAAACCCTCGTTGCCAAAAATAGCAAAAATCACAAGAACATTAGATTTCTTCATGGATCTAAATTTGGAGCACCTTTTGCTCGACGCCGAGAGGGGCAACGGTCTTGTACGCAATGTTCCAGTCGAAGTAAGCATATGGGTCTCCCGCCGATGCGGGCCCCACTGCCGCCGCAAGCAGAACCACCGCTGCTACTACCGCCGCCGCCGCCGCCATTGGGACTTCAAATGCTGAACTGATGGGCAGCAAGAAAATTGGAGCTTTTTATAAAAAAGAATTTGCCTTTTGTCGCTCTAATGTTTCTCTTTACATTATACAGTGATTTCTCAAAGGAAAGCCTGGGCTTTTTTAAGATTTAGGAGGGATGAATAGCAGCTGCTGATGCCCTAAATGAGAAAATGAGGGTAATTATATATAAGCCGTTATTTTTATTTCCTTTTTATCTATTTTCTTTAATGAATTTTGTGCACATTGCTCCCTATAGCTACTGTATTTGTTAAGGGAACCTCCACTGGATAGTTTCTAATTCACCCTCAAACTTCTCAAATTATTTTTTTCTTACTCTTAATTTTCAATGTCACTAACATGCATCCGATTGAAGTAATTATTTTTTTATTAACTTATAATAAATAGAGAGATAGGACTCAGTTTTCATATTGTTTTATTTAAATTTTAGAGTATTTTTGCTTTTTTTAAAAGCAATTGATAATAAATTTTAGAAAAAATTTAATCTTTTAAGAGGCTGCTTATAGAGGCAACATATGGATGTTTTTAAATTCAACTCCTATTTTTTATAGTTTTATTATCATATAAATGTTTTATCTTTTTCAAACATTACCTTATCTATCTAAAATTATCTTGTCTATTTTAATAGTGACAGCTAAGGTTATGTATATTTTAGTCAATTTCATTTGTAATGATCTTTGAACATATTTTTATCAAATATCTTTTGGAAGTAGCTAATAATATGTGATATAAAATAGCTATTTCTAAGCAGCTTATATAAGTTGCGTATATAAACAAGTCATAAGCTCCAATAAAACCAAACTTGCTCTATGAGACTGGAAATCATAGAGGATGAGGAACACATTCTCCGTCTATTACAAATTAATATTAGTGTATGAGTAATATTTTAAATTGAGGGTTGAAATAATTAATGAGGGATTTAGGGTAAATGAGATATATATGGAGTTCGATTATAATTTGGTAAGTATGATAGTTGAAGGGTATATATGCAAAAATGTTGTTCTAGCTACTTCCGAGATTGTAGCCGTTGGACGACGACGCAGTGGATATTTGAGGAGAAGGTGGGTGAGAATAGCAAGTATGAGGCGGTCTTGCCAGCAAATTGCCAGTCCACGGTACTAATTAGGGAATAGTGCTTGATCCGCTGTACCCTCCTCTTCTTTTTGCGGTAAAATTATCCGCTTAAGAAAAGCCACGTTTTAAGTTGAGTTTGTATACTAAAACGTGGCATTTTTTAAACGGTGGATTTTGCTGTTGTTTGTTTCGGACGAGTATGTGATCCACATTTATTTGCCGGACCATTTGGGGCTCACTACAGGCACATGCCGCGGGCCTATGGTGGGCCCCACTACGCGCTGTTCCCAGCACTTTGAAAACGCAGATTTTCCGCGGCTTAATGAATGAAACTGCGCGCTACCGCATAGATGTTTTGTGGGTAACGTCCGTGGGGGAAGTTTTCCGTGGGAATCCGGTTCGGATCTTCTCTCTGATTAGGATCCGTGCGAATGCAAACCCGATACCTTTGTCGGATCCTAATCAGAGAGAAGATCCGAACCGGATTCTCACGGAAAACTCCTCTCACGGACTTTACCCACAAAACATCTATGCGGTAGCACGCAGTTCCATTTATTAAGGGCCTATTTGTTTGCACGGAAGTAATTGTGAAGTAGCTGAAGTAAAAGAAGTAAAAGTTATTTCTGCTACTTCCAAGTAAAAAAGTGTGTTTGGTTCTCTGAAAAACTTACTTTTAATACTTCCCTAAATGCTTATGTGACGTTTACGTATCATCCTTACTTTCAAAATATTTTTCTAATCCTCAATACTTAGAAGTAGCTCGGAAGTAGTTGAAATGCATATTAATTAGTACATAAATAAATTTTTTTATTATATTTTCTTTATTAGTTACTTCTAATAACTTTTCATTGATAAAATTACTTCCTAGTAATATTTCCAAATGTTATCCAAACAAAAAAGTAAATGAAGAGGAAGAAGTTCTACTTCTATTACTTCTAAAAATATATGAAACAAAAAAAAATGTAATTTCCACTACTTCCTACTTCATAGCTTTGAAAGTTACTTCTATAACCTACTTCTTACTTCTAATACTTCCATTATCCAAACGGGCCCTTAGGGCATCTCTAACAGCTTCTCCAAATTTTTCTTAAAAATAGGGAAGCAAAAGCCATATTCTCCAAATTATTTTTACATCAACTCCAACAGCTTCCCCATTTTGAAGAATCTTTTTTTTTTCCTTCAAAAATTTGGAGAATGTTGCAGATTTGGGGAAGCTTCCCCATTTTTTCTCCTCCATCCCTATTTTGGAGAATGAGATGGAGAATCTGTTAAATCAAAAACCTAACTAAATTCTCCAAAAGTGAGAATTGGGAAAGCTGTTGGAGATGCTCTTAGAATTCCCTAGAGGCCTGGGGTGTTTTGATCGTTCGAACCGTTAGGCCCCATTTGACAAAGGGTTAAGGAAGAGGGGTTAAATACAATGATTAATGTATTTACGTCATTCGATAATCTGGAGGACTAAATTATTATTAACTCATTAAATAAGTTTTATTTTAGCTCTTGTGATCAGTTTTAGTGTTTGGAAATAACAATAATTTTTTGACTATTTTCTTTATAATTAGAATGGTTAACTCTTAATCCTTCTAAATAGGAGTATTAGTAAACCCTCTTTATAATTAGAATGGTTAACTCTTAATCCTTCTAAATAGGAGTATTAGTAAACCCCTCATTTTGAGAGGTTAACTCATTTTAACTAAATAGGAGTATTAGTAAACCCCTCATTTTGAGAGGTTAACTCATTTTAATCCCTCTAGAGGGGTTAGCTTAACCCTTCTATATTTTTTATGTTTGGTAAACTATAGAGGGTTAACGCACTTTAACCCTTGTGTAGATTTTTTATGTTTTGCGGGTTAAGAAGGGGTTAAGTCTTCTTAACCCCTCATTTAACCCTTTGCCAAACGGTAATAGATTTAAAATTTTCAAATTATACCCCAACCTGACAATGTCCAGTAGGTACTTTCCCCCTTTTTCGGATATTCCGGTATTGATCATTTTTACAGGACGGGTTAACTTGAGGCAGTGTGCTTCTGTCAAATTTAGTTAAGCTCTCGATTATGATTAGTTGCAACACTGTGCTAATAACGATTCAACCCCCCCTCCCCTATAAAATGAACCGGATGTAATTAAATTACTAATATTTTTTTCCCCCTTATTTCTTCTAAATAAATTTGGAACTTTAATGTAGTACCTCTAATTATAGTCGCACTTACTTTTCTACACGCTCAATTTATGAGTCCCTCTATTTCTATGCATTTATGCCTGGCTAGCTTCTATTAACCAATCACCTAAGTTTCATCATTTTAAGTATTTATACGTCTTAAATTTGTGAGCTAGGCCAGATACAATTAATCCATTACTGTCCGCGTCTATTCTGTGTTCTGTCTATTTTAAATACACCCACCGCCCCCGAAAACAAAATTACAAGAATAGAACAAGGACCATTGATCCCCAAATTATATTCTGACGGGGACAAAAATTATTTTTTTTCGCCCCCCTTCTTGCTAAATTTTGGCTTTTATACCTGAAGATGTTACAGCTACCTATATATGTACAATCTTACCTAACAATGTTTTTTAACGTTAATAATACGATGTTGAGCGTTATCATGATGAAAACATTTAACCGTGTTGGATAGCAACGTGAATATAGGGACAACGTGAGCCTCAACAGTACACATCATTACGAGAATAACATGATTTTGTTCACACACTGAGAGCAAATTATTGCATGTTGGATTAGAGGAGTTTTTTTAAAGATTTTTGTTTTGAGGTTTCGGTGGGGCTCCTGAAGTTTTCCAACTAAAATTTCGCCTTTGATTGATAGAGGTTGGTGATCATTTGCCACCTCTCGGTGGAGACTCACTGATTAGCTGGTAAAAAATGATGGGTTATGTTCAACAAGGTATTTTAAATAGGCAAACCCGCTTTAAGACATTTTAATTGATCCAACTAACCAATAAGGCATGGTTTCTCGTCGGCGGCAAATTTCCAGCGAGGTCTCGTCACGTGCATGGCACATGATGTCTCAAAACTCGTTTTTAGCAGCGGCGACGGCAATAATCTCGTCAATATTCATCGATTCGATGGGGGTTAGCGATCTCAGGCGGTCATAACCGTTATTTATCCTACTTTGGGCTGATATGACGAGATTATTGCCGTCGCCGCTGCTTAAAATGAGTTTTGAGACATCACGTGCCATGCACGTGACGAGATCTCGTGCGGAAATTTGCCGCCGACGAGAAAACATGCCTTATTGATTAGTTGGATCAATTAAAATGTCTTAAAGCGGATTTGCCTATTTAAAATACCTTGTTGGAAATTGGGGTGGAATTAAAATACCAATTATGGGTATTTAGCCTATATATATATATATAATATATATATATATATTATATATATATATATATATAGTTAATATTAGAATATATAGTATATTATAGTATTATATATATTATACAGCTTATATATATTATACACACACGAGCCATACCAAAAGGTTAAAACAATTACGAGCGAGTCTACGTTCATCCTCCTATCTTCGTAATTCTTTTATTGTTTAGACAAAGTTACATATCAATTATGTTTATTTGGTATCTGATGGACCGATAACTGATGATCTAGAACCAGTGTACAATAGTATAATGAGGAATATTGATTATATATGATCTAGGATCATATCCCTTTGGACCACCAATTGTCCTGTGAACATTATAGTTTTTTATAATTTTAACAAACAAAACTTTTTTTGTGGGGTCGGTTGAGACTTTACAAGTTACCACTATATTAACACAATAATAAAGTCATTATGTGAGTATTAGGAGATGTTCATGTGAATGGGGTTAGTAAAATTGGAGCCTTATTAAAAAGTCAAGAGTCAAGAGAAAAGGAAAAGCTAAATTTGGAAACCAATGAATGTTCCTTGCCTCCTTAGGATGTTAATTAAGGTGTTTTGGATTGGAGAGAAAGTAAAAGAAAATGCTAAGAGTAATCATTTTTTTTTATTTTTTATTGTTCGCTTTTAGTTCCTTTTCCTTTTATAAAAGATACATAAATTCTTTCCGTAACTCCATAATA